AAATAGTTTTTAGATGATTTTCCAAAGACATCTAAAATATGTATAATACACTTTAAACTTAAATAGAAGCCTATGTTCGACGTGTATTAGACATTGAGAATGATAGGTCTCTTAAATGTTAAGGATTTTCACTAGTTTTTTACATGTATTGCCAAATCATTTATAGATGCCACTTAATGATACATCTAAAAGATATAAAACTTGTAAAGGCTAATATAATATAATATAATAATACCATATGGTATTTGGTTAATTATTATTTTTGACATCTGTAGCATACCTTAGAAAAACAATCTAGAGACGACAAGAAGATATAGTAAAAAATAAGGCAGTTGCTTATTTTAAACTTCGTTTTATATTAGTTGTCATTTAGAATATGTGCCGGTCAAACGATACAAAAAAAAGATGACAACTATATTTATCTGTCTTGGTACTGCTATTTTAAAACAAAATAGCAACAAAAGAAAAACAAAGAAGTTAACTAGGGCATTAACGGGTTAAAGTTTATTTTCTTCTTTTTACAGCATTTAATAAAAGATTTTCTTTAAAAATGTTTTTTACCATTTATTTTTTATTTTTTGCTGGACATGTTTCATTTAATGCGCATAATTACAATCTTCCAGACATTACTGCGCATGGATACGAACATACGGAAACTATTGCGCATAAGTATAATCATCCTAGAACAACTGCGCATAAATACAACCTACTGCGCATATATAAAATAATCCAGGAACTACTGCGCATAGATTTAAACTACTGAGCATAGATACAACCATCTGGGAGGAAATGGTTCAAAATTTAGTTTTAAGATTTGACATTTAACATACAAACAAACAAATATTGCAAGTAAAATAAAAGCTTGTACAAAAATCAAACGGTAAAATATTTTCTTAACATACTCATCTCGATACTCATATTTTGAAGTTATTTTAATATTATAAAGTAAAAATAAATGTTAAATTTAATAAAATGAATAACGGGTAATATTAAATTAAAAATCAAAAATGTTTGCTGAGAACGATCGAATTCCCCATTAAACATTTTTAACGCATTTGTCACCATTAACATTGCTCGTAATTCATTTTATTAAAGATAACATTTATTTTTACTTTACTATAATTGCAAAATTTTATTAAAAAGGATTAAAAATATTAAAGAAACAAAAAGTTAAGGTTATGTTTACTTTAGCGCTACTTTGCCTGCGCGCGCACGGTCGATCTCATTCCTTTGTTCGCTGTGGCTTCGCGTGCTTACTTTTGAGTTCGCTGCAATGTAAATGACAGTTTTAGTTGGTGAATTTGATACATTTTTATATTTGGTGGTGATAAATTTTGTCTTTTTGTGCTGTGCATATGTCCACAACATTTTAGGTAAGTTTACATTTATAATTATTAACATTTTATTGAATTTGGATGACGGATCTATAATTGATCTATAATAGATGGAGCAGATATTTACCTTTTGCCAATAAATAAACTATAATAACGTATGATTCATACGGTTTTCTAATAAAAATCCATCTCCCTAGGTTTTGCGTTAGAAATAAAGATATTTTTTCAATGTATTGAAAATTCACCTATTTAATTAAGTTAGTATTAATACCTATATTGCTCTATAACTGATCCCTAATAGATCCGTAATAGATGATTGTTTTATTAATGTCCGCACAATTTTTTTTTACATAGGTAATGGGGCTAAATTAATATTAATATCATTTTCTACTGAATTTTAGTCTTTTTATTCTCAATCTTTCTGTTGTCTGCTGTTAGCAATAAATTAACAATTTATTATTATTATTAAGAAAAGAAAAGTGATTACTCTATATATATATATAGGATATATGGATCAATTATAATTGATCCATAGTAGATCCGAAGTAGATAATTACGTTTTTTAATAGATCAAGGGAAATTTTCCAATAATAACATGATTCCATATGTTGTACTACAGAGACGAAGTATATTGAAAACTTATAATAATAAGGGCCTTTCCTGTTTATGTCAAAAAAACACATTTTTTAATTGATCCTTCTAATAGATCATTTTAACACATGAAATAGATGCCTCCATTCGAGTAGACATCAGGATCAAAATACGGTCAAATTGGACTACATACTTCGATATCTTTTAGACAACAAGGTGAAGCAATTGACAAGGCCTATTGGTTTGCCAACATTCCCAATTCAACAAAGATCGGATTTCAAGCAATTTGTAAGAGGAACTAATGCATCCCAGCAAATTTGCGTATGTGGTAAGCCGCTTTCTTATTTATTTTAATTACCTTATATAAATGACGATGATATAATTAACACACTTGTAAGTACGTTTATCAACAGAAAAACAGATTAGCTGCTATTGAAGGTACCAACCTGAGATCAGCTACCATGAATGGATTAAAATATTTGCTTGCCAATAAAGTTGCCAAGAGATTTAACTAAGCGCGAAATAATGGAAAGAGGGCCTTTAAATCTACGAAAACGTCAGAAGTTCTTGAGGGTATGAAATTCACAATTGTCTGTAACATATATGTAACCTTGTTCCTTTCAGATGCTGTGTTTCTACATTTTATCAACAACGGTATAAACGCGTCAGCTGAATTAACGGATAACACCATAATAAAAGCTACTCATGACTGGTTACGCCTGGTAACCTAGTGTTATAATTATAATAAAAATAATAGTAATTAATAATATATATTTAAAGTAACTTATATTTAAAAGAAACCAAAGGGATACCAAAAATAGAATATAATTTTTGTTTTTGTTAAATACATATATAGAACTTATTTTTGCTACTTTATTTTGTTATTTTTTTTAAGGATTTTTGTTATTTAATATAAAACTATTTGGCTTTTATTGAAAATAAAATATGAAGAAAGAAATTCATTAAAAGACTTTTCATATTTGTAGAATTTCTTACAAGAATTCTTGCATAAGCAATGTACCCCGCACTCCTCTATGTTTTTAGGAGATGACTATATTTAGGTTAAGCGCTTTTTTCTTAGACGAGTATTTCTGTTATCCTATAGGAAGTCGATATTATAATATAGACGTCGTATTATTTTTTTAGGAAATGTTTACATTCAGAATATAGATTGAGCACGACAGAGGTCTAACTTTGATCTAAATAATTGTTACTTTAGATGACTGTATAAGTATACTTATATTATAATAATAATATACTATAATAGTAATCTAAAGAAACAATTATTTAGATTAAATTCAGACCTCTGTCGTGCTAAATCTATATCCTGAATGTAAACATTTCCTAAAAACATAAATAAGACGTCTATATTAGGATTACAGATATACTGGCCTAAGAAAAAAAGCATTTAGCCTAAATATGGTCATCTCCTAAAAACATAGATAAAACATACATATATATTCATCTAAAAAAAGTAAGCATTTAGATTAAATTTAGACCTCGGCTCATTTTAGACTGAAGACGTCCATAATAGGACTACATATATACTCATCTAAAACAAAAAGGATTTAGATGAATTTTAGATCTCTGCTCTGCTTAATCTAGTCTGAATATAGATATTTCCTAAATACATAGATAAGAGGTCCATATTAAAACTATAGTATATATCATCTAAAGCAATACTTATATAAGATCAAATTTAGACCTATGCTCTTATAATGATATAATGACGTACCTAATATATACGTCTATCTCGAGGACATTTCGATGCCGATCTGCAATCTGAACAATACCATCTATAGATATCTGACGAAGACGTCTAATGATCATCTTTAAGATGAAAGTGTGCTACGTAGCAGCTACGTACGTTCCAAATAGTAGCAGGGCTAATAGCTAGTGACATATTTGTTACATTTTTGGAACTTTATAATTGTTCCCCACTTTAGTCGTAACTTAGTAAAGAAAGAGTAATATAAAGAGACCGGCGACTGTCGCAAAACACTTTAAAGTTTCTTCAATAGTCCCATATACGTAACAAATACTTAAATTGTTGGTAATAGTCGCGAAGCTCGAAGATTGTACCAAGATTTATTCCCGGTTATACTCCCATGTGAACAGACGTTTACCAGTTTACATCAAAAACTGTGTAAAACTGGCACTTTTAAAGTAAACAAGGTAATTGCGGAAGAAATCGAATAGTTAAAAAATAATGCACGAACAACTGCTATATCCTTATTATTTACAGAGAGTACAAGCTTTAAACCCTCAACATCTTTCACGTAGACTAAAATTCTGTCGCTGGTTATGAAGGAAATGGCATGAAGACCCCAACTTTATTAAAAAAAAATATTTTCACCAACGAAGCCGAATACAATAGGGATGGAATAATTAATTTTTATAATAGTCATGCATGGGTTGATGAAAAATTTATATTTTCTCCAAAACCTCCTTGATGACGTGCCCTACCATTTAAGATTGTCGATGTTTTTTATGCATGATGGCGCCCCATTCCATTTTTCTGCGAACGTAAGTACACATTTACGTATATGAAATTTACGCCGCCCGATGAATAGGACGAGGAGGGCCAATTCCGTGGCCTCCTTGTTCGCCAGATTTAAATCCATTCGACTTCTGTATGGGGGTTATTTAAAATCATTGGTATATGCAGTCCCAATTCGTAACTTTGAGGAATTAATGGCGCAGGTTGTAAATGAATCCATAAGAAATAAAGCTGTTTTTTTATGAAAAACGCATTAGGAGATGTGTAGAAGAGTACGGCGGTTATTTTGAGCATTTACTAAAATAAGAATTGTTGAAAATTAGATATAAATTGCGTTATTGTTGTAGTTCATTTAACTGTGTTTAATAATTAAAATGTATGATTTTTTGGCAAGACATTTTTAATAGCGACGTTTTGCAACCAGATTCTGTTTGATTGATTTGTAAATCAGTTAAACCTATTTAAATAATGTTAAAAAAACCTTTTTGAAAAAGACGATATTAGTATTTCTAAAATGTTAAGCAAAAATCTACGAAAAAACATTAACACAAAAACATTTTTAAAAACCATCTAACCTGTTATACTTTTTATTTCTAATGGGTCTTCGGCTTCGCTCCCTGTTACATTCGCCTATTCTTGCGTCCATTCCTTCTAATTAAAAATACACGAATGTCATCTTATAGCATTAGAAAAGTTTTTGTGTAAAAATAGATTACATGTTGGATAACACTCAAAAACAAAATGGTGTCTGCCATGTTTAATGCTTGTAAGTTAAATTTAAGACGGAAAAATGTAAATCGAAAGACAACATTTTGACGTTTAGATCCCTGATCCGTTGTTCATATGGATTAGTTAATAAAAAATTAGAACTTTGTGGTGTAATTTAAAAATACCCGTAAAACAAGCAGGAATTCAAAGTGATTCACAAAACATGACTAAGATTTGTCTGTTTCTCTCGATTTAATGGTCTCATCAATGCCTATTTGTATTATTTATAGAAAACGATGAAAAACTCACCTAATTAAATATATTTTTCTTTGCGGTGTATGCAGATATTTTGGAAATCGGTGCAAAGTAAACAGTGTAAAAGTTTGATGGAAACTGAATACCTACAGGTCTTACACAATCTGGGGACATCGCTGTTTTATTTTCAGATCTTGTCTCTCCCGCGTTGTATTTTTTATAATTGTTCTATTTAACTTCGATTGGTTAAACCCGAACATTTCGTCTTTTCGTGTTTTTTAATCTGCACAATTCTACAATGACCTAAAATGTATTTTTAAATTTGAAAATGAAATTTATTGCTAATTATAGCATTGTTATAGGCGTAAAAGTTATCTAAACAATAATAGTATATTATGTATCGTTTGATAAACGCCATTTTATTCTGGCATTTAATTAGGCAAGAGCGAACTTGCGAGCGAGTGTTTAATTAAACGAGTGTCTATAAAAACGAGTTTTTTCTACTACAAATAGTTATTATTATCATAATTTAAATTAAATATTTGTATACAGCGACATCTATAAAACAATGGAGTAACCATACTAACCAAGTTAGTAATTTGGAAATCTGTATTACCGGCGCGCCGGTCAAATTGCCAAATTTTTAGGTGTAAATCAAAATGTTTCCCATGAAAATGGACTTATCACCGGTTAAATCCGATATAAAACCAGTTTTTCACAGTGAAAGTGAAGATAATGTTTTATGAAAACTCCACGGTGGATTCTGCACCCGAAATTTTTAATGGTTAATCAGTTAAATCTAGTTTACTAGATCAAAAGGTCAGTTCAGCTTGCAATTAAACTTTTTAAATATTGACGTTGAGAAACTATTTAATACTTTTGTATTTTTGTATTGAGATAATGAAATAATTTTTACATTTAATATTATTTTACAAGAAAGTCTTTTATTTTAACGATTGTATGACATGACAACTGTCAACTAACTTAAAACTAATTTCAGCCCGTGACTAAAACGCCATAAAGCCAATGTGTATTTAAAAGGTCACTTAGTGTCATAGAAACATGTACGATAATGGGCGTTTTAAAGGTGGGAGTATAAAAAATAACATTAAAAATCATATAAAATTTGAAAATACAACAAGAATACAGTAATAGTAGAAGAGAAATAAAAAACAATTGCAATTATTATTTATAGAAAGCGGATTCTTTGATTGGCCTTAAATTATTAATTTTTATTTATTAATAAAAAAATTACTAAAAGTATTATAAGTACATTCGGTTGTGCCAAAAAAAGTAAATATTTTTTTTCATTCTCAGCCCAAAATATCACAGGATATGCCCAAACAAAAATCCTGTTAGTAGGGGAGCTCGGAATTTTAATTTTAAGAGGTCCTCCATCGAACTTTAATTTTTCCCATTTAAATAACATAGAAAAGAAGTTTTTAAACAGTATTTTCTCCTACATGCTGTGAAGAAATATTTTTTTGATAAAATGAATGAGCATTAATTTTTTGACAAAAAATTCTATTGAGTTAAATGTCAATCGTCAATATTTAAGTTTTTACAGGTGCTTAAAATCTGGTTTTTTTTTAATTTTACGTTTTATGCATTTTGCAGCTAATCTATTGGAGATAGAACAAGACGCCCTGTACAAGTTTTCTGTTTCATTAATAGCAACATACTTACAGACTCACAAAGTTGATTCTTTAACTACACTATGGGTATTTCCGCAAAACCTTACCCCATCTTGACAAAAAATCAAATGAGTTATTTAACAAAACAAAAACTATATCTGAAGTCAAACAGTTTAATTGCGACGTAATTAATAACCTTAAATTATTCGTACATTGTAATCAGAGCTGGCCAAGTACTGAGTACTTTTACTCGTATTTCAATTACGAGTAAAAAAGTACGAGTACTTTTTTACTCAAAAGTATTTTTCATTTGAAATACTTATTACTCGTACTTACAAACCAAATTCACGAGTAATATATACGAGTATTTCCGTTTATTATATCGATGACTTTTTGCCAAAATATCGTAAGCATCAAAACATTTTGTTTGAAAGTCTGTTTTAAATTATATAATATATAGTATAATATAATATATTAGAGCCTATAGGTTTTATATCAAGTAAATAAGTAAAATTATAAACTATTTAAGAATTGTTATACATAATGTTTAAAATAAATAATTTTATAAATTTGTATTTGTATTTTTATAGCTCAGGGCCAAAGTATATTATATAATGTACACTCTCTTAAATAAATTGGTCGAAAATAACTAATTACCACAGTTATTAGTGGAAATTAGTGAAAATACCGTAAAAAATTATGAAAGTGGAGCAGTTTTGAGATAAGTCAATTCCATATTATATGAAAAATGGACTATATCTCAAAAACTGTTCTACTTTTATAATTTTTGACGACATTTTCGGATTCAGGGAAATTGACTGCTAAATGTTAAAAATACAAATTGCTATTGGCGAGAATTATTAGTGGCTGCTTTTTCGCTATGACATCTAGTCATTTTTGACTAATCCACTTTTAGAGAGTAAAGAATAATCAATTATATTAACTAAAATTTTTCATTCAAAAGTACTCGTACTCTTTACTCGTGTTTTCACGATCACTACTCGTAACTGTAACATCTCTTTACAAATGTACTTACGAGTAAACTCAGTAAAGTACTTACGAGTAAATGTTTTAAGTAATCGAATACTTTTTTTAGTACTCGTGCCCAGCTCTGATTGTAATGCTAAGAAGCTAGCTTTAAGAATAAACACGGAAGAGTTTTAATACTTACTCGATAAAAAGTCCCAATTTCAAATATTAGAAAATAAAGTATACAATATTTGTGCATTTAAAATATGTACGAGCTAGTTTAAGGTTACTATTTCAGTTTTAGACAAAAAATTATTACTATATGCTTTCATCCAAAATTTTACAGGATCAACTTTGGAAGCCAACTTGGTCGCATTTGCCTATTTTCTAATGTCGCGCCCGTTACGCGATTCATAGCGTTATAACTCTGAACAAATACTTTATTATCAAGAAAAAACGCAGTTTCAATGTCGCACCCGTTACAAAGGAAATACCCCAATGTAATATATTAATGATAAATATGAAATTTTAATAACAAATATATAGTACATTCAATTTTCTACAAAATTAGCCTTGGTAAACTTTCTGTATTATCTGTAGTTTAATATATTAACAATATTATTGTTATTTTCATCATGTTTTTTGGTTAATGAAGCTAAGTACATCGATTCTAAAGACAATATAACCAAAAAATATCACATTTCTTCAACGAGTCAGCAGTTCTTACCAGTATTTTTATTTTTATTGTCTATCTTAATTTATTCTAGGCCATTATTGCTATATTGTATTTACATAGTTATTACGATAACTATAGTTATACGTAATGAAAAAAAGAAATGTTAATAAACTTGATTAGCCTAAAATGTTTTTAGAAATTTTTATTTTTGTTCTATCATAGATAGTTTAATTGATAAAAGCAAAAAATTTGAAAAACGCAGCTTTGTGAGTCTGTAACTTTCTTGCTATTAATAATACAGAAAACTTAAAGCAAAATTTAAAAAAAAATCAAATTTTAAGCACCCGTAAAAACTTAAAATTTAATATTACAAACTTAATATTTAATATTGACGATTGACATTTTTGTCAAAAATTTAATGCTTAAAATGATCTTTTCATTTATTTTATCTAAAATGGGCTGAGTGAAAAAAAATATATCTACTTTTTTGGCACACCCTAGTGTACATTAACATAATAGTTTAATGATACTTACATATTAAATTTAAGCTATTTTTAAAAATGGCAAATACGCTGAGGTTAAAAAACTTGTAGCCTAATATCCTTCCTAAAAAATTGTGTAACCGCATAAATAAAAATTAAATTTATCAATAAAAATAAAACATATATTTAGTGGTGTATTTGTTTATAAACACATACCTACATATATCCACCACTAAATAAATTTAAAATGTTTAAATGAAAATTTCTTGCCAGAAGAAGTTTTTCCTATAAAAACATTAAAAAAACACCAATTTTTAAAATAATGTAGGTGCAAACAAAATAAAAATAATAATAATGCAACTTTCTTTTAAAAAGTATCAAATTTAATACATTAATATACATAAAAAATAGTTAAATTAAATAAAAACAAAAATCCAATTTTGATTAAATACATATAATTTTTTAAAATTTGTTAATTTTCACGTTTTTGGATTTTTCATTTCATTTTTAATTCCAATAAAAAAGATTAAAAAAATTAAATGAAAAATTCAAAATTTAAAATTTAACAATTTTTATTGAAATAAAAACTTAAAAATGGTTAAACTTTTAATTTTTCTTTTAGTTTTTATTCAAATAAAAAATCAAAATCGTAAAATTAAAAAAAAAAATTATTTAGTATATTATGTATCAAGTTTGATAAACGAATTTTAATTAGGCACGAGCGAGTGTTTAATTATATGAGTTGCATACTATACTTTTTCTATGAAATATACTTATTATTATCCAATAATAATTTGATTCAAATTTTTGTTTGTTAATCGAAATTTATCCCTCAAAAATTGACTAAAAACCGTTTAATCGGATATAAAAGAAGTTTTTCACAGTGAAAGTGAAGATAATGTTTTATAGGCACTCCGCGGTGGTGTCTCCACCAGAAATTTTTAATGGTGAATCACTTAAATCTAGGTCAGTACCAGTGGCGGCCCGTCAGGGGAGGCAGGTGAGGCAGTCCTAGAGAATTAAAAAATTAAGTATAATTTAAATATTTTACTTTCTATAAAATACTATAAATTTTTAATATTTGGATTACATGAATTGTGAAAGTCAATAAAATAAATTGATTTTATACGTGGAATACCCAGCAACATTTAAATTATTTGAATTTGAAACGACCGCAATTTAAACTAATATTCATAGCTAGATGATTGGCTCAGAAGCATGCCTGAACTAATTTAGACTCACGATTGGCGTTAGCCTTGTTATCTCGTTCTATTACAATGCGATATCATAGTTGTCTCCTTCTCTCGTATTAGCATACGCGAGGCAGGCACGCCTACATCCAAGAAAATAAGCAGGTGTTGTGGCAACACTGTTGCGGAATTTTAGATAAATTTTACTTCACACGTTTTTCAAAATTCAATAATAAATGGTATTATTTTTCTTATAATAAATCGATTTAATCGAAATTATATTTCTATTCTAAAATAAA